TAGCAGCTCCCTCACTGACAGCTCAGGTGAACTAATCTTCAGGCTGCACCGCTGAGTATTTTGCAAAAATGCACGTCCCCGCCCCCGCCCCCCGGTAAAATGGGGTCTAATGCAGTCTTCTTTCAGGTAATGCTGTCCCATTTCACTTGCCATGGAAGAATAGAGTACAGTGGAAATTAGAATCCCCAGTGTAAGCTATAATGTCTATTCAACTTTCTAAGCTAGCCTGCCATGTCAGGTTTGGCTTTGAATGAAACGCTTAATGCAAGCTCCGTATTTCTAGCAGATAAAACTAATTGAATTGCAAGTTAGTGCAGAAGTCAAGTTAATTACAAGATGGAATGTGAAAAAGAATCGAAGCTTCCAAAGGAAGCTTCCTGGGATGGGACTGCACTGAAGAGCTGGCAGTCCACATGGTCTGTTGCAGTGTAAAAGCACCTACAGCTTGGCTGGCACTAAAAACTTTTTAAGTACCAGCAGCTGTAGATCTTGATTCCTACACATCTGGGTTAGTGTTACAATATGCAGACAGTTCTGTTACTTCAGAGTTGCACTGGGATTTGCTTCCAATTTTGTGTGTGTGTAGAATGCACTTCTATGTTCTTTAAATTTGTTATGGCAGATTTTTAAAAAAGTAGGAGGAGAGGATGGGACGTGTTTTTCAGATTATTTGAAAGTAGTAGTTTTTGTGCTTTGTGTTAATTTCAAGAGAACAATAATTCACAAATGGATCACTTCAGTGTTGAAATGCATCTTCGGAGTTCTGGCCAAATTCCAAAGCATCAAAACCAGCTTAAGAAAATCTTTTGTCTTTGTACTCTAAAAATAACGCTGAAGACTGCTATGTTTTCATGGTGACTGTAATCAATGTCAAAACCCTTCCTGTTAGGGTAGCTCTTGAAGTCCTTAAAATATGCAATTGGAAGTGTCTAGGAGCCATTTTGCACGCTATAAGGAAGCAGTAATAGAGAATGCATGAGTAAGGCTGGTTCATGTTATTTCACAAGGAGCTGTTATATACAATACCAGGAAGCATGGCAGGGAAGCATGTATCACTTGTGCCTCTTTTTTCCTTGCATGGTGAAGCAGTCCTAAGTCAGTGTCATAAGTATTTCTGCCAACCAAAACTAGATGAGTTTAAAAGCTTCCTTGCTTTCACCCAAAGGTGGCTTTGCAAAGCACTTTGCAGGGAAAAGGCACAAGAATTTCATTACTGAAGCTTGAAGATCTCTTATTTAGCACAGTATAAGAATAAGTTCCTTCTAGTCACTTTTCCAGAGGTTCTTTTCTTGCACAAACCATGGGTATACTAGAGCGTTTAAAAATAGTCTAGCATGTGTTGCATTTTTCAGGGTTGTTGTTTTTTAAATTGGCAGATGTTTTGAACACCACTGCCATAAGAAGGCAGTGTGGGGTAGTGGCAAATGTTTTGTGCTCAAAGGTAGGAAATTCAGGTTAATGAAACTCACTGGGTGTCCTTGGTGAAGTTGTTGCGCTTGGCTAATTTGGCAATTGCTGCAACCCTTGGGTGGATGGAAAATTCCTAATAAAATGAACTTATAAAGACTGAATTGGCAGTGGGGGGAGGGGTTGAATTTATTTAGTTTATCCCTGTCACAGATGCAGCTCTCTGTGTGGAGGGATGGCATTGGCTGTGTCTTCCCTCTAAATGTCAAAACTGGTAGGGTTGTATGTGTGCTGCGCACAGTGTTAGAAACTGAAATAGGAAAGCTAGGAGCTTAAACCTAGGTTATGGGTCCAGCAACAGAATGTCTAGGTGCATTTCTTTATAATGATAATACAAAGCTGAAAATGAATGAACTGCAGCTAAAATATTACATTCATTTTTCACATGGTCTAGTCCTTCCCCTGCCCACCCCCCTTATATTCTTCAGAGGGTCTCTTCTCCAGTCTTCAGAGATTAGCTGGAAGTGGGGAGGCAGACAAAGGTCCTCCTTTTCTTCCACTCTGCAGTTTTAATCTGAAACTTTAGGCACGGTACTGGGCCGATAGCTCAAAAACTGCTCATGCTAATGAAATTCCCTGTCACAAAATGCACCTAGAACAGTGGGAATTTTGAACACTGGCGGCTGCCATAGAACACTGAAAGCAGAAAGTAGCGGGCAAGCATTCTTCAGCTGATGGGCTTGGGCTAGGCCAGGGTGATCCAACTTATAGCCCAAGAGCTACATGTGGCTCTCAACACCTTTTTTGACAACCCTCAGCAACATTTGACACCCCACTCCAAGCCCTTTCCCAAAACCAGGTAAGGGAGGTGCTGGGTTTTGGAAAGGAGGCATGAGGGTTCTTACAGGGTCCTATAGTCCTCCTCTCTCCTTCCCAAAACCTAGTTAGCTTTTTCCCAGCTTGAGAAGGAGATGGGAGGACTCTAATAAGGTTACCAGACGTCCCTGTTTCCTGGGGACACTCCCCGGATTCACAAATCAGTCCCCTGACAAAATCCATTGATGTTGAAAAGTGTCTCTGGATTCATTGAAAAAAATCTAGTAACCTTCCTCTAGGACCCTGCCAGCCTTGCACCACTTTCCCAAAGCCCTGGTGCCTAGCTTTGGGAAGGCAGTTCAAGGGCTGCAGGGAGTGGGAGCTCAAATTTTGGCCTCATCCCCCCACCCTCAGGCCACAAGGCAGTGTGTGGTCTGCAAGTTCCGTGTCATAGTACTCTTGCAGCCTACTTATTATGAAGAGTTGTGCTTCCCTGGGTTTGGCATAATGGAAGTAGTAGTAGTAATTGTTGTTGTTGTTGTTAAGCTACTCTGGGCAGCTTCCAGCAAATATAAAAACATAGTAAAACATTAAACCTTAAAAAGCTTACCTATACCGTACAGTGCCGCCTGCAAATGTTTCCTAAATGTTATATAATTACTCATCTCCTTAACATCTGATGGGAGGGCATTCCACAGGGTGGGCACCACTACTGAGAAGCCCATCTGCCTGGTTCTCTGTAGCTTTGCTTCTCGCAGTGAGGGAACCACAAGAAGGCCCTCAGAGCTGGACCTCAGTGTCTGGGCTGAATGATGGGGGTGGGGACGTTCCTTCAGGTAGACAGGGCCGAGGCCGTTTAGCACCAACACTTTGAATTGTGCTCAGAAATGTATGGGAGCCAATGTGGTTTAAGTTTAACTTCAGCTTATAGGGTAAAAGGAAGGAGGAGTTTGCACAGTGGATATGCACATTCAGGTATTCTTCCTCTGAGCCAGGTCCACATATCTCACCTCAATTTTTTTTTTAGCCTGCAGTGGACTATATGGGGTTTCACTAAAAAATGGCTTTGAAGTATATGTGCTCTGCTTCCGTGCGTGTGTGTGTGTGTATGGGTCCCCAGTGGTTGAGTGCTAAAAACTCTGATCTGTATACATTCTTAGAATTTGATGGATTCATGCCCTATATGAAGATAGCATTGTGTTGTCTCCTACATTTCATATTTTGCACATTGTAATGATGGCTATTGTGACAGGCAGGAGCCCAGTATGCTTTGGCAGGAGAAAATATGCTTATTCATTGCCTCCAAAATTTCATTGGATATGTGTTTTATATTTCAGTTTCTCAGTGACAGTGTGCAGCTGAAAATTGAGCTCTCATTTATATGCTCAGGAGGAGCAGCATTCCTCATAAATCAGCTGTGTGACAGATGGGGCATCTCACAAATCATGTTAATCTAGATTTGTAAGAAGATCAGGGTGAAATGAGGTGACCTACAGAATAGGAAGAATGAAAACATGAATGAGTTTCTATTTCTGCATCAAATAAAGGCAGGTCTAAAAGTGAAAATATTATCATATTGGGGAAATAACTATTTTTCTGTTTATTACTAACATTTGTTACAAGCTTCTAGCACTGTTATTTTTTAAAGCAAGGTATCATAAATTTTTCTGTTGTAGGAATTGATATATAACTCTTAATAGGTAGTTTATTTTGTCAAATACAACTGTGATATTTGCTCACTCAGTCATTATTGTACTGAAAACTAACCTAAGAATTCTAACAGTACCATGTACACTCCTTGGCATTTGCTGGGACTGAACTACAGAGCAAACATAAAGGGTGATTAGAAAGCTAGTGAACCAGAAGTAATTCTTCCTTTCGCTTGTCTTATGCTGCTTTTTTTAAGATTGTGCTCAAAGATGGAAAGTTGGAACATCTGCAACTTCATCTAAATAAAAGGAATGCAGAGGGGATCTCTCTAATTAGTCTATTTCAGTTTAGATAGCTGTGTTGTGAGCTCTAGGAAAGCAGTAATTTATTTTGGACAACAGCTACAAACTTGGGTTAGAAGGTTATTATCTTAAATGTAGATGGGCTGGGATTAGTATTAGCACATGCAGTGCACAGTGCTTTCTGTAACCTACTTCTCTCTCTGTTTAGGATCCTTCAGTTACACAAGTGACGAGAAATGTTCCTCCAGGATTAGATGAATACAACCCTTTCTCAGATTCAAGAACAGTAAGCATCCTTCTTAATATCAAATAAACCTTTCTCATGTGGAAATCTATGTGACACTTCAGTTTCTTTATAAACTTACAAATTAAGCTTGTGTATGTTATGACCAAGGGACGCGGGTGGCGCTGTGGGTTAAACCACTGAGCCTAGGGCTTGTCGATCAGAAGATCGGCAGTTCGAATCGCCGCAACGGGGTGAGTTCCGGTTGCTTGGTCTCTCCTCCTGCCAACCTAGCAGTTCGAAAGCACGTCAAAGTGCAAGTAGATAAATAGGTACCGCTCTGGTGGAAAGGTAAACGGTGTTTCCATATGCTGCTCTGGTTCGCCAGAAGCGGCTTAGTCATGCTGGCCACTTGACCCGGAAGCTGTATGCCAGCTTCCTCGGCCAGTAAAGCGAGAGCCGTAACCCCAGAGTCATCTGTGACTGGACCTAACGGTCAGGGGTCCCTTTACCTTTACCTATGTTATGACTAGTCATTTTTATAGTAGCCTGTTGAAGGCAACTGTAAAGATGCCATTCTTAAAAAGTATGGCATTCTACAAGTATCAGTTTTCTCTCATAGTGAACTGAGGAGATTGAGGGCTGGTGGGATTGAAGCCCAAACTGGTGCACTAAGACAAAAGAAGGGAAGAATTAACATGGCCAGCACTCCAGTGATGATTTTTAGTAATTGCTGAGTGGTTGGTGTATGTATGTGAGAGCAAAAATGTGCATGCTTTGCCCTCCATTGTGCTGTGGTGTGTTGGGGAATGTCCCCTGTTCTTTTTAAAGTGATTTGTTCTTCTACATACCTTGGCACATAATGTGGCTGAGGATTACATGTAGCTTAAACTGGAAGTATAAAAATTACATCTTATTTTTCTGTTGAATACATAAGGGGGGAAAATCTGGCGGTAAAAGGTGCACCTAAGATTAAATGAGACAGAAAATGCTTTTAAGAGCACGTGAAAAGGTAAAGGCAAAGAGACTGAAATGGCTGTAGATATTTTCATCACTCACTGTATCTAAATAACTTACTTGTAGCTGCTTGATGCCCTGTAGGCTGCTGGCTCTTTGGGGAATGTCCCATTTCATTTATATTCAGCTGATGTTTCTAAGAGGTGGGTGTGAGATGTAAGCAAGAACTTCTCCCCCCTGAGTGATTTATTGGCACAGTCTGCCGAGAAACTGTGGGAATGGAATAGGGACCGGAGATAAACCAAATCCTATGTCAATGGAAAGGGAAATTAAATGAGAGAATGTTCAGTTCCGTGGGCAGCTGAGTGATTGTGAAGAAGTAACTTTTCTTTCATGATGTTAAGATGCCTCTTCTAGTCATTCATGAAAAGCTAATGACTAGAAGAGGCATCTTAACATTGCTATTCTTAAAATATTCCATTCCCTTTCACAATTTTCATTATGTTATTACAGTCCTGTCCTGGGACAGAGATCAGATTTTTTTAAAGTGTCAGCTTCCATGTGTGTGTAAGTAAACCTGCCCTAAGAAAGGGACAACATGAAATAAAAGTGCAAGTCCGGGAGCCAAAGGGTGGCATACATAATGCATCTCTTCCAATTTATTAATCATAGCAACCCTGCGACTAACCCAAGCCCATCTAATGAGCTTCATGGCCGAGTAAGATTTTGAATGTGCTTACCCTAGTCTAAGCATGACCAAACTTGGCCCTCCAGCTGTTTTGGGACTACAACTCCCATAATCCCTAGCTAACAGGACCAGTGGTCAGGGATGATGGGAATTGTAGTCCCAAAACAGCTGGAGGGCCAAGTTTGGCTATGCCTGCCCTAGTATTAAGTCAACGCTAGCTGCTACACCACTGTGCCTTGGTTCTTAACTTATCTATGCAACTTTGAGAAGTGTCTGAAAATGAGAACTGCATTAGTCTTAAGTGTTTATAGCCCAGTGGTACTCTCATTACCAATCACTGCTTTGTTCCTGAAGGGAAACCTCCTGCTATTGCTTAACTTGCCAGCTGAAGAATGTAAGTGCTACCAGTGGAGTTATTCAGTGGGCAGGTGTTTTATAATCTCTCTGCAAGCTGTGTCATAGCGCTCCATATGTCTTTAAGGAAAAATGACTCTGTATTTAGACCAGCTCCCTTCAGGATCCTCTCCACCTGTCCCAAGTCTGTGTGGAGGGGGAATGGACTGTGATCTCTGCCCTTGTCCTCACTGGCTCCACCAAAAATTTCATACATTGAGTGGGCTGTCTATCTGTGTGTGTTGGAATGAACATGAGCCGGCTTGCTGATCTTATATTTTTGTGCTTCCCATGTTGAAAATGTGTTGCTGGTGCTTTCAAGGTACACAGGATTGTTTGTCAGTTAGAATCATTACTGTAAAAATAGCAGGCGAGTTGCAATTCTGTATGCACGTACCTGGAAGTAAATCCCATTGATCTTGGAGGAACTTGCTTCTAAGTAGGATAGAGCTGCCAGAAATATGAGATTTGTTACCTACAGCACAAATGCAGAAACATTACTTAAAGTTGCTTAATATTATAATCCTCTTTTCTTTAGAATTATGATTTGTTGGATAGTTCTTTTTTTGCTATAATATTTTTTATTGAAACTTTTCAACTTAACAATATAATAAAAGCCAAACTAATCTAAATAAAAATAGAAAAAGGAGAAAGCAAAAGTAACAAACACAAAAGAAAGACAGAAAGAAAACTTTATAATCAGTACTAGAGGTTAAGATAAAAACGTCAAAATCTGAACTAGGGGTAATCTTGTAATGACAGGTGAGACCTGTAATAAAAACTTCCGTTCAGTGTGCTAGCCAGGCCTGCTCCATCTAGTATACTCCATTTTATTTCCTTTCCCAACACATTTTCTGCCTACTCCACCCCATCTTAACCCTCAACAGTTGGTCAGGAGTCTGTGGCCACTGAGTTTGCTTAATCATCATCAGGCTGGTTTGGGAGTCTCTACCCCCTCCCCCAAACAGGTTTTCCTAATTATTATTGCAGTTCTGCAAACCTTGGGAGTTCCCACAAGCCTGCTTCCTCTTTCATCTTCTTTGTGGGAGTGGTGTTGGTTTGGTTTCTCATAGATCTGAGCTCACCTCTGAACTTTGGAAATGGCTTTTGCCAGACACCTAAGATGCAATAGAAGTCTCCTAACTTTTGGATTGCCCGATGTAAAGTATTTTACAACATTTTCTAGACCTAACCATGCGATTGCTGTCTTTATTTTTATACCACTATATCATCCTCAAGCATCCTACATATTTCTCCAAATTTTGGTTACTTGTGTAACAACCATAAAGCTGGTTGATTGAAGAAACTGAGGAAATGCTTTGTTCTTAAAAAAAGACTGTATGCAACAGCAAGTTTCTAATATTTTAAAAATTGGCTACATTTAATTTCAATGTCCTGTGGGTCTCCTCCCACCTCAATAACTTGGTGCAATGTAAACATTATATGGCAGGGACAATCTCAATCTATATTACTGTATATTTCCATTTATAAGATGCCCCCGATTTTTGGGGACTCCAAATTAAGAAAACACCCCTCAGCACTACCCATGTATAAGACGAGCCCCAATTTTAAACCTATTTTTTGGGGGGGGGCTAGTCTTATACACGGAAAAATATGGTATGTTCTTTTTGATCCTGTGAAGGGTCTCTGTGCTGCTGCAACACAAGTAATAACTGACCATCAAGGTATATATTATTGTGGCACTCTGAGCGAAATATATTTCATTTTCTCAACAGCTAGGTAATGGTTAGTAGTTGGAAGTTTATATCTGTGGCCTGAGTTTAAATAGAACACTTTAGAAGCACGAGGAAGAGTGCAGTAAATGAAAAGCAGAATTTTGATCTTTTTACTATGCTAATTAATGCAACCAAAAGATCTTGATTGTTCATGGAATTTCTATGCTGAGCTATTTTAAGTAAATACTACAGAACAGGCTATGAAACTTAATATCTCTTGCGTCTAAGTCACTGTCTTTTAGCCTGTGTTCAGTATTAAACTTGCATGTTCCATGCCTGAAACATTTTGCTGTACTTGATATTATACTTCATTGTTTAAAGCAGAGGTCAGCAAACTTTTTCAGCAGGGAGCCGGTGCACTGTCCCTCAGACCTTGTGGGGGGCCAGACTATTTTGAAAAAGGAAAAAAATGAACGAATTCCTATGCCCCACAAATAACCCAGAGATGCATTTTAAATAAAAGCACACATTCTACTCATGTAAAAACACGCTGATTGTCCGCAGGCCAGATTTAGAAGGTGATTGGGCTGGATGTGTTCGCAGAACTCATGGCAAAGCCTTGTTCGCAGAACTCATGGCAAACTCATGAGTTCCTACTCAACAGGAAGGATCTGCTGTTGTAGGGTGAGGTCCATCACCCAGCTCAGATTGGCTACAACTCTACACCTGGCTGTTGAGGGGAGGGCCTAAGGCAGGGGTCAGAAAACGTTTTCAGCAGGGGTCCACTGTCCCTCAGATCTTGTGGGGGGCCAGACTATATTTTTTGGGGGGTGGGGAATGAACGAATTCCTGTGCCCCACAAATGGCCCAGAGATGCATTTTAAATAAAAGGACATATTCTACTCATGTGAAACACGCTGATTCCCGGACTGTCCGCAGGCCAGATTTAGAAGGCGATTGGGCCGGATGTGGCCCCTGGTTTAAAGGAATAGATTCAGACAGAAGAAGATAATAGTGAACTGTTCATCTTACTGATGTCTTGTCTCTTGTTTGTTCGTGACATACGGCAGCTAACTAGGAGTAGGACTTGTAATGATGGCTTCAATTTAGAATGTGTTAGAAACCAAAACAGAGGTGCCTCTCCGTTGGAAGAAAACCTCTTGCACTCATGGAAGGGCTGTTCTAACCAATTTAGCATTTAGGGTCACTTTTCTCATGCAGTGCTCTTTGGCTGTGAATATATAAAATTTGTAAACTACTTAACACAGTATATTGAAATGGAGTACAGTTCCTGTTTGTTTCAGGCTATTTATTTAACTTGTTTATTTTATTAGATAGCTTGCTTGCCCTTCAATATAAAGTCCCAGGGTGAGCTACAAAAATAAAATATACAGTTATAAAATAAATCAAACAGTTATAATAATAACACAAGAAAAGTGTTAAAAAAGACAATTAAAAGTTTCAAATAAAATAATTCCACATGTAAAACATGTAAACATATTTGTAATGCAAATATAGACAAAGATTAGCATTTCATGTGGCAGCAGTAGTACATTTTCTGCATTTGCTTGCAGGTCATCAAATGCCCTGAGGGATAGCTCAGTCAGTAGAGCACGAGAATCTTAATCTCAGGGTTGTGGGTTTGAGCCACATATTGGGCAAAATATTCTATCACAGCAAGGATTTGGTCCCTTGTGGTCCCTTCCAACTCTACAAATTTGTGATTCTATTATTCTAACTATACAGTAATATAACATTTTACTTATCTTACATATCAGTAGCCATTTTAAATGTAGATGAGGTAGTTAGGGTGTCTGTTATTATTATTGATAGTAGTAGTATTTCCATTTATAAGACACTATTTGAAGACCTCAAAGCAGTTTTAAATAAATATAGAAGCACAATAAGTACAATAATAATAATATCAAATGATTTACATTGAAGTAAAATAAATACACAAACAATATAAATCGTTTGGCAGTGTATAGTGCCATACAATGTATAGTGGACAGATATCATTTGCATGTTGCAACTTTTCTACTTATATCTAAAGTTTAGGAAATGTAGAGAGTTGACCAGTCAACTAATTAGAAGGGCTGTTGTACATCTTGAATGCCTCTGTAAGATATTTTCTGAAAGTATCCAAGAGCCACTCTAAAATGGTTCTGTTCTTTTCCTTTCTTAGCCACCACCAGGAAATGTCAAAGTTCCCAATGTGCCCAGTACGCAGCCAGCTATAATGAAACCAACTGAGGAACCACCTGCTTACACACAGATTGCAAAGGTATATTTAATATTATTGATGACAGCATCAAAATGGGGATATATATACATATATATACACATATATATATATATATATATATATATATATATATATATATATATATATATGGTACTACTTCCTTACATCTCAATTTTCCCCCATCAGGAACATGCCTTGGCCCAGGCTGAACTCCTTAAGCGTCAAGAAGAATTAGAAAGAAAAGCAGCTGAACTAGATCGCAGGGAAAGAGAGATACAGAGCCTCAACCAGCAGGGAGGTAGGCCTTAACCATACCTCAACAGACTGCAGCTCTCAAAATGTTGTGCTTATGGAAACCATTTAATTCAGTGCTTAGAGTTAGTTTAAATGCAGTTTCTGGAGCTCTGAAGTTCCTGCCAATTGTCTCTTAAAACAAAAATGACAAGATTTAATTACTGCAGTTTTATGTATGCTTGGAGATTTAAATGGGAAATACAGAGTTTGGTTTTTATTGGGTCATTACTGTCCTCTATTATCTGTGTTAAATTAAGCTGAAGTGTAATGCTGGTCTGCTGAAGGAGATAGAAGCAGTTGCCAGGAGAGATGATAACCTTAAAAATCTAGTCAGTGCAGCATTTACTTGCATAGAAGACCCCTTAAAATCAATGACAACTTTCCTTGTAAACAAGATTAGCAGGAGAAATAGCAACCTCTAAGTAGAGAAACTCAGGTTCTGTGCATGATTACTCAGATACAAGTCACTTTGTGTTTAGTGGCGCTTGCTCCCTGCAAAGTTTGTATAGGATTGCAGTCTGATAAGCATTCCATTTAATCTGAAAGTGCACCCATCACTTTGTGGAGAGATGGGTTATTATTTTTAAAGTAAAATTCAGGTTCTTACATTGGAAGCCTTATTATTTGTATATTCAATAAGCAGCTGGACTTTGTTTTCACATGTTCTGTATTAGTGCTGATAAAACAGGATGTGTTAGCGCTAAATTTTGTTTTCACTATTTTAAAGTCTGTGTTTATTTCCTTGTTAGCAGTGTCAAGTGGAAGTTAATGAAGCTATCACTACTGCTTGGATTCAGGATTGAGACCTTAACTGGTAGCCTCTCAAGGCTGCTGCAGTTATATCTCTGTAGGAAAGTGTGTGTGTGTGTGTGTGTGTGTGTGTGTGTGATGTGATAGAAGATCCACAGCTCTTTCTTCAACTGTTATTTTAAAAATTGTTTGAAGTGACCCTTAATATTCAGCAAAATATTTACCTTTTGCTCTTCCAGGAAGAAAGAACAATTGGCCTCCACTACCTGGGAATTTCCCAGTGGGACCCTGTTTTTACCAGGATTTCTCCGTAGACATTCCTGTAGAATTCCAGAAGACAGTAAAGATTATGTACTACTTGTGGATGTGTGAGTAAGATTTATAGAATATGTGTATACAATGACAACACAATCCTGTGCATGTCTTCATGAGAGCTAGTTCCATTCAGATCATTGGGGCTTGCTTCCTGCTAAGCAAGTATGGGATTGAGCTTTATAATTTCAGTACTCAATTTACATACTGTTTGCATCATTACTACCAGTGTAGGCATTTGAGGTTATATACCAGGGATGGTGGACTTGTGGCCTTCCAGATGTTGTTGCTGAAACCCCTGTAAATCTCAGAAAGCATAGCTAGTGGTCAGGGATGATGTGAATTGCCCAACAACACTTGGAGCGCCACAGGATTCCTACCCATGTCATAAATGCTTGGCAAAATCACTTCGGAGCTGTTTATCTCCTTGAAAATATTACTGTAATAAAAAGGGCACCAATGACTTACAATATATAAAGACCCAAGTTTTCGGCAGTTTTCTTTGGAAGTTTAACATCCTGCATAGACTGACACACTTGAGTTTAGTAAGCTGCAAAAATATGTCTGGCATCCATATGATGTGGATATATCTCAAATCACATTTTCCTCATTTTGATATGTTGTACCTAATGCACACATATATGCATATGCACACCACTCCATGCACTCCTGATTCAGACTTCCTTTCCCAATTCCAGAATAACTTCTCTTACAAGTACACTTCTGTGTTGGCACTCTTAACTTTTAGAAGATGGTCAACCAATAATTTACAGTTCTCCATACCGGAAAGTTTTTATATGTCAGTTGGAGCTTGGTTAGCAAGACAAAAGGATATGGCTTGTTTCATTACCTCTCTCCTTCACACTTCAGCGGTACGGCAACATCCTGAGTAGAAGGAACTGGGTGATAGGCAAGATGGATGAATTCCCTGTTGGCTGTTTTTCTTACTTCCAATTTGGTGGGATATGTTGTTTTAAGAGTTTCTCTAAAAAGTTAACACTTTTTAAAAAATGTGACCCTAGTAACCTGACCACCTTGGGTCCACTTAATATGCCTTCAGCAAGTGTAACAGACTCTGCCAGCTAAGACTGCCAGTCTGCTTACTACCAAGTCGCCCTGGTTTAAATTCTCACCTCAGGTGCCTATTGGCTCCTGTGTTAACATTTTCCATGGTGGTCTTGTGTCGCAAGGCAGTACAGTGCAATTGCAAGCAGCAATCGCCAACACTGCATCATTAGGTTGGTAGTGGAGGCATGACAATCGTGTGGGAACTGTTAAATCCAATTTTGTTTGGTTTGTACAGCGGTCCCTGGGGTTAGACTGTTATACTGTGAGCCTAAACAGCTATTTGAAATGTCACTGGAAACGGTGAAATTTGCTGCTAGTAAATACATTTAGAACTGAAAGCCTCCAACACCTTGAGGTGGCACTAAGTAACACTGACAATTTTGCTTTCCAAAATTGTGCACCAAGAGTGTAGTTGGGATAAGTGTACATGGTACTTGCTTACCATCTTTTATGTGTAACTCTTCTAATTTATTAGAACTTGCAAATGAGTTGAGCAGTGTTTCAGTATAACTAATTATAGGATACTGTAGTGTTCCTGTATGTATTTACCGGTCTGACTCTCAGATAATTAAATAGTATCTGCAAAAATCTGTGTACCCGGTAATTATTGTAGAAGTGTCAGCTATTTAAACAAGAAATGCTGTGGTGATTCTTTGTTACATTTGCTTGAAAATCTGGCAATAGATTAAAAAAAATTCCGGGCCAGGGAAAGATGGTGTCCTGTGGCATTCGCTACACTCTGTTACCTCACTGCAACTAATCTGATTTGATACTTGGGGGGATTACATTAGGTTTAAAGAATGCAGAAAACTTTAGTGGATTCATTTTTAAAAATCAAGGTGGATCAAGCAAAATACTGTATTAAATGATAGATTTAAATATCCTAATAATTACATTTCCTCAAAATGCATACTAACTAGTTGTTGTAACAATTAAAACACATTGGTTTGCAGTCAAATAGGCATTTACACTGCCTAGGATCATAGCTGGAAACCAATGGTGTTATAGGCAGCACTCCAATTGCACTTAATTCATATCCACTTAAGACACTGAAGTGAAAGGTTTCTGGTTGGCTTTTTGTCACATTCAAGGACACTAAGAGCACTTTCTTGAGGACTAAGTGCACAAAACTTTCAAGATGCAAGGGTTGATTGTGCGTTGCTAAAGGAAAAACGTAAGGGAGGAAAGAAACAGTGTTGACCCTTATTATGGGGAAAAGAATTTGAATCCAGTCTACAGAAAACCATAATATACTAAAAGCTGGTGAAGCGAATGTGGTAGTAAGGGGTAATAGTACCTGCCACCCTTAGAGTCATGCCTGGGGCTGACAGATACTGAGAAAAACTGTGCTTCTCCATGAGACAGAAAGTAATTGGCCATGTTGTTCAGTTGGCAACCACAGTAACATATATATCACACATACCTATTATTTCATACTCAGGATAAAGTCAGATATCCCCCCTCCCTAGTTTTAATCTTTTATAGAAGCAGACTTTAAATCAGTGGCTCAATTCCAAAGCTCTTCACACAGTATTCAGGCTGCACATGAGAGCTTTTCAGCTCACCTTTTACAGCAGCTGCCTCTCAAAGTTTCCCCCGCCCATCATGGTACTCCATGAATCACTTGAGGTGCAGCCTAGGAATATAGAAAGCTACGTTATGCCAAGTTGGACCCTTGATCTATCTAGCTCAGTATTGTCTACACTGATTGACAGCGAGTCTCCAGGGATCTAGACAGCAGTCTCTCCCTGCTATACCTGGAGATGGCGCAGATTGAATCTGGGACCTTCTGCATGTGAAGTTGATGCTATGCCACTGGGCTACAGCCCTTCTCCAAGAAAACAATACCCCTTCTGCACATTCTGTAGACTACATTGGGGATGGGTTCCTGCAAGGTGTCCAACAATCAGTTTTAAGGGAAATATTTCTTCAGGGTTTTTTGTTTTTAAAAAGAGGCTATTTAATGTAAGAACTGATCACTGATCCACCCTG